AGAAGGTGCAGCCACCTGTTTAAAATAAGAAATTCCGTTACATAGTCCGTTAAAACAACAAATTTCGTTAGTTTTTCCGTTAAAAACAAGAAATTCCGTTACATAGCCACTTTTAATATATAGAAGATATATTAAAAAAATGTTATAGGTAGAACTGAACCGGAACCGACGGTTGGAGTTTGAGTTAATTCCAATAATTACAAGGACTCAAATGGTTCCATTTACGAAATACCCAAAATATAATGAGTTATTTCAATACCCGAATCGACCCACCCAATGCCCAAACCTACTACTGTTTTCAAAATTTCTAATGGGAGAAATTCATGAATCATATATTATCTATCATGAAATTAAAAATCAAGTCCCAAGTTTTAAAATTGCAAAAATTAGATTCATGAATTAATTAATTATATTTCACAATTATTATATTAAATTAAGTATTAAAATGTAATATAATATAATTAACTCATCCCACCTCCTCAACTGTTCCGGCGACCACTCAGGCGACTATTCTCCGGCCGCGCTTAATTCGGACGACTATTCCAATGACTGTTTTGTCGCCACTTAAATCCGATAACTGCTCTGATTCCGATGTCACGGATATTTTAGTAGTTAAAAATTTAATTTTAGGTCTCAACTTATCAAATTAATTGGTTAAAGATTATTTCGAAGTCACAAATCCAAAAATTTATAGGCCACAATTAACTCCATTAGTCACTGATAAAAAAAATTATAGGTCACAGAGATTACATATTTCCAAATTTGTTAGTCACAACTTATATTTTGAGTCACAGACTAACAAATTTTAAGGTCACGGACCACATAGTTGGTCATATACACCCAAACACCCGTCCCCGAATCCTGGTACACCACCAATACTTATTCACAGATCGACCAAATAGTTGGTCACAGAAACTCTTCGTCCCATCTGCCCGCCACCACCTCCACCGCCACAACCACCAACACCCACCACCCAAACCACAACCATCGCCGCCTACACATCACCACCATCATCTTCGCCCTTTCACAACACCGCCATAGTAATAAATCATTGGTCAGACATACCTAATCTCATCTCATCTCATCCCGCCATGACCACCCCACCGCTACGCACACAACAAAAATCACAGTCACCACCAAATCCAACAAAAACATCCCCAAAAAAAAAAAAAATCCCCAAATTCGTCGGCACAATTACAAACTCGACAATCAAGTCTTAGTTCTGAAGAGTGTGAGGTAACTCAGGATACCCTTGGTTTTGACCGGGTCCTAGACGATGTAGCAACAAACGAACAAGTAAAAGGGAAAAATTGAAAGAAAACTCGAAAGACATCGGACGAACAAAAACATCCCAAAAAAAAAATCCCCAAATTCGTCGGCACAATTACAAACTCGACAATCAAGTCTTAGTTCTGAAGAGTGTGAGGTAACTCAGGATACCCTTGGTTTTGACCGGCTCCTAGACGATGTAGCAACAAACGAACAAGTAAAAGGGAAAAATTGAAAGAAAACTCGAAAGACATCGGATGAACAAATTCGGACTAGACATTTTCTCCTAAATCTTATCATGGAGGGTCACGACCAAATCATGGGCATCATCTAAAAGTTTCCACACGTCGAGATGTCCAGTCATGCTATTGCACTCCCACATGATTTCATCCATGCTGCTATACTTTTCTATGATCAATTTCCTCTTCTGCAATACGGAGGCTGCTATTGCATACAGTAATAGATCATCCGTAGGTGGTGCTCTAAGCCTCATCCTTCCCCAAGTTGATTTGCCAATTCCAGCCCGAATAGCTGCTTGATCTGCCCACATAACCTCCCAGAGGCAAAGGGTCTGCTCGAAGGTTAATTCCCGTCTGAACAAAACAACCACCATTCTGTACACAAAGAAACAATCTTCCGCCTGAAGCTTCTCTAAGTGTTTGTAGAGATGTGAATCTTTGCCCTTGATAATCTTAGACACAATTTTCAACTGCCTTCTGATTCCCATTTCATCAAGACGAAAGTTATGTCGAGCTTTCCTCATGAAACCCACAAAGCACCAGAATGCTACATGGTCGTCCGGTATAACTGAGATAATTGGAGAGAGTAAATCACTCATCCCCTGGCAATAACCAGTCTCAGAATCGTATAATGCATAGGCTTCAAGTATGGCAACAAGACGAGCTGCATGATTTATCATGCATGGCTCCAGATGATCATAATCCTTCAATCCGATGCTCTCAGCTAATCGACGTGCCTTCACCTCTGACACTGAAGCTTCAGATGGTGAGTAAACAATCCATTCAGAATTAGCACGCACTGCATCAACACGCATGATCCGCTGCCAAGAGGCCAAATCTTCGGCCATATTGGACGTGGATCTAGTTTCCATCTTGTTGGAAGTGGACTCAATAAGTTCATTATCTTCCAATTCTATTGAACCAAGGAGAGGTTTCATATCATCAGATTCTTCTGAGGAATCGGAATCAGAAGACTCGGTTTCTTCTTCAGAAATATTTTCATCAATAATTCCACACTCATCTTTTTCCTCCATTAATGTACTGGATGTTTTAAGGTATAGAATATGTCCAGACATTGTTGGTATCTCCCCTTCAAGGCTCATTCCCTCCATTGAAAGAGAAGCTCTGGCACTAGCAACTTCTTCCAACACGGGAGAATCTGAACCTCGATTAAATTCACCAGATTCATTAATGTTATTTCCGTAAATCTCAGACTCGGAACTTCTATCACCGCATTTTAAATTTTGTCGACACTGTCTCCGCAAGTCTAAGTATTCTTTTCTGTCACAACAGTACATGAAAGCAAGGGATGATTGCTCGAACTACAAAAGAAAAGAATAAAATGACACAGAATTGCAACAGAAGGAACAAACTGGACGTGGTGGAAAGGAGGACAGGTTGGGTAAAGTAAGAAATCCATCTTTCCTATATATAAGCTGTTCAAAAGAAAATACGCCATTGTGAAGGTAAATTTACCTTTTTTGAGCTCCAATAGCATCTCTTTCTTTTTGTGTACTTTTCACATCATAGCTGCAAGGATAAAAGATGCAGCTAGAAAAGACCATTTCAATTCAACAATATGAGATACACAATTAACAAGAGTGGTTATGATCACATTACAATTTTTATCAATGCACCACATTTTAATTGCATTAAAAGTCTCTAACCTTTATTCAAAGTTAAATTTAT